CCCAGTTCCCTCAGCCGCTCCTCATAAGACTTGTTCTCCAGACCCCTCACCAGCCTCATTGCCCTTCTCTGGACACGCTCCAGCACCTCGACGTCCTTCTTGTAGTGAGGGGCCCAAAACTGAACACAGTATTCGAGGTGCATAATTCTTTGTACCCAGAAGGGACACGAGAAATAGATTTTTTTAAGAATTCCTTTTTTACCTACCTTTGTAATTGAACCAAAACTCCATCTGCAAGAAGAAATCACAAATGGAGAAAACTGTCAGTAAGTGATCACATTGGTTACTGAAGATGTAATTTAGAAAACTGTTTTTTTTAGGGTGCACGTAAATTAACATTTTGATTAGAACCATAAAATACATTCTCAGAGCAGATCTGATCATCACCATGCAGCTCGCTTTCGTTTGCATCATGGAGCAGCCACAGAGTGCATAAACGGGGTTGTATTGGAATGAAAATTAAACTGAAAGCTTAGATCCATAAAAAAGGATCTAAGGCACCAGCCTACGAGTTTCAAGTGACACCTCCCCCCCGCCCAAAACGTGTCAATGCAAGGTCCTCAGCACCAACTGCTTCGCTCTGAAGAGACATTCCTACTGTGCTGCACTACCTGCTAAGGAAGACATCACCTAAGCAACTCGGGCTAGATACAAAAGAAATTATATTTAACCTCTATTTAAAATTGCAGTTCAAACTCCTGCTTCAGCAGAAGTTCCCCGGCAGAATGCCTGCAGCCCTGCTTCCCAGCTGGACGCTATCGGGCCCTGGGAATGAGGCGCTCCTCCTCTGTGTTTGGAGGGGTCTGATCAAGCAAGTGGCCTCTGAAAATGTCAGAATCACGCTGCTGGATTGAGGCTCTCACAGAAACAGGTTTTGGATATTTTCAAGGAATTGTGTTTAATGTTTATGCAACAAACTGAGCACTCGCTTAGAAAGTGAGATCTCACAGGTGCCTTGAGTGATCCATCCTGACTACTAAGCTGCAGAATCCATAGGCACACACCTGTCAGAGCCGTGCCAGGTGGCTTGGGAAGGATTACTTAGAGCTCACTGTTAACTTTCCTCTATTTTTCCTAACATAAAGTTTCTCACCGTTTTCTCCTGCGAATGGAAGATCTCCTTAGCCTCCTCAAATGAACACTTTTCCTCATTGCATTCTCTCTCCAAGTTCCCTGGACGAATCTCTTCCAGAAAATAGTTAGCACGTTTATGGACTTTCAGCACCTCATGTGCTTTGTCTTTTCTCATAAACGCTAGAAAAACAAAATTGAACAGTTGATATTGGAAGACAACAAACCGGCATCATTACAGTCACAGTCATGCATGCTTTCAGTTGAGTAAACAATATAAAGAAGGGGAGAGGGAATCTATGTGAACAGCCCAAAGGAAAACAAAATTAGTCTGTGTTCCAACAAAAGACACTAGTAGTTTAAGCTTTCTTTTAGTGGATCAAAAGACCCACTACTGAAACTTGCAGATTAGTGCAGAAATAAGTTTTTATTCCACAAGACTCTTGAGTAGTGCAGCTTCTTTTGAGGCTGGTTATATTTTTCTGCCTAACCATCCTGATTCACTAGTTGCCTGCCTGTGTGTGCATGTGGAAATAAAGCTGAAAGGAGAGGTTTGGTTTGTATTTGGCGTCAGCTTTGTTAGATACTCAGTAATGGAGACCCAGTGCTTTCCAGGTAGCTACTGTGGCCACAATAGGACAGACACCGCTCCTTCATTAAAGCGTCAGTTTTGTACTTACATTTAATTCATCTCAACTTCGCTTCACTAAGCTATCTGCCCTCCTACCACAATGTCTTAAGAACTCCCAGTAAATTAAGGGAGGAGTGGCCAGAAGAGGGAATATGGCAGCAAGATCCTCCCCACATCCCCCCTTGATGCTCCATAGCAAGTCTTTGCTATGGCACCTCTAGCTGAAGCACAGTGCTCCCAGGATTTTCCAGCCAGGATGCTCTGAAGGAAAATGAGGGCTCATTCAGCCCTCGTGGATGTATTGATACCACGCGCCATCTCAAGGACCTCCAGACATTTACGTGCAGTGACTGAATTGAGCCCTGAGTCACTATTTAGAGAAGATGGAGGTTTTTAACTTTTTGTTAAATCTCCAGAAGTGTGGCCCTATATCCAAACCCCATCCATCTGATTGTGAAAAACTGCTGCTAAGAAGTGTTTTAAGAAGCAAGCTCACTTTGTAATCCTGACAAAGCCTACTAGAATTCATACAGCAGTTCATTTAACAGTACTCTGTTTTCCTAGTCATGGTTTAGTGTCCTAGACAAATCAAAACCCTCTGACAAAGAACCCAGTTTTGGAGATGGACCATAAAGACACGTTTCTTTGCAGTTGCAGGATTGGTATCTATAGCAATGACTGAAATTCTAGAATAATATTAAATTGCTTCATTTCTAGGCAATTAGAAACAGCCACTAAAAACTCTTAGCTGAGAAAAGCTTTAGACAGATCCTACTGCCTGGTAACGGAAAAAATCTCTTTCACTTATATCAGTGAAATTGCCCTTCACCACCCCTTGAGTTCTGGGGTCATCTTTAAAGGATTTACCTATTGTAAGTACCATCACATAGAGGATACGCCTGTTGTAAAGCCTTCTGGTTTGCAGATACCAGTTCTACTTCTGCTCTTCCTCCTCTGCAAGGACAGCCATAATGATTTGTGAGATCCTGTGCATTCTCACGCCTGTTCTAAAGCTCTCTGAAGCCATTTCCAAACCTTGTGCAGTTGTAGTAAAATCAACATAAGGTCTGAGAGCATATGTTGAAAGTGCCTAATTTTAGCTTCCCAAATTTGAAAACATTGCCATGCAAAAATAATTCAGATTTTGGGTTCAACATCACAAGGAGAATACTTTTCAACAGGATAGTGGTCTAAGTAGGAAGTTAAGAAAGGCTGTTTTCTCTTGGAAACATATACGAATATTTATTTTTCTCTTGTGCATTTCAGGAAGTGATTCTTCAACCCATAGGACTCTGTGTTCAGAAAAGGTATGCAGTTTCAGTTCAAATGCCAAGATTGTCACAATAAGACAATTAAGCTAAAAACATAATTCAGAAGTACCTACCTGAACAGGAAAACAGACAGCTGCTGTTGATGGAGCACATCAGTAGGAGAAACATCACAAGTAAGGAACTGCTCTCCATTTTAGTAAGCATTCAGAATACTCCGACTTCCTGCTGACTTCCTTCAGAGGGAAAAGAAGAATGAAATTGCTATTTTATCACAAAAACAAGGGTGAATTAGCCTGCAAAAAAGACGAAGAAATAGAACCAAGAGGACAAAAGAAGGGAGAAAGAAAGCAAATTCTACCCAGTTCATTTTGATCTATTTCCATTGTTTCTCCAAGTCACACCGATGCTGCACACTACCACAGGAATCCCAATAGTTCACAAGGCAACGTGCAGAGATTGACCTAGCCCAGGATGTGGTGCAGGGTCTGATCCAAAGCCCACAGAAGTAATAAAAACGCTATGATGAACATGGGAGGCATGGATCAGGCTCAAATTGAGCAGAAGCCAGTTCCAGCGACAGCCTTGTTTAAACTGTGAAGGATCCAGACCGACGTCTGAGCTGCACTCTTCAGCCAGCAGTTGCTAATGACGGCGGCTGCTGTGTAGTTACTGATGGTCTTGTCAAGTAAGACCGCATGCGCAAACCTCAATGAGGAAACCATCCACCACATACCTGGCAGTGAAAGTCAGAAGAGAGAAGCTTTTATTTCTTCATATTACCTTCCCAGGCTAAATAATTTACCAAGATTCAACAGCACATACCTCTCTGCTCTCTGTGTCGTTTTCCAAAAACACAGGATCCAGAATGCATTCACTTTACACAGAACCACGCAATTATACTCACTTTTCTCTTTATTTTTTTTAGGGGAAGACAGGAGATTTGGAGTACACCAAGGAACAGCCATGAGGTCAAGAGGTTAATCATTAACCAGTCACAAATATTGACAGAGAGACAACCTTCTGGATTCTATGAAACACATTTGCAATCCAAAATCAGAAGAAAATTGTGTGTCTGTTTCTACACACATACATGTGTGTATTTAATAAAAAAAAAAAATCCTTAAAAACATCGTCCAACAATAAAAGCTACTTCTTTGCAACAATTTTCTTCAGGAAAATTTGGAATTTTTAAGAGAAGATTTCTGACACTCCATCATCTTTCAGTAGGTAAGACCAACTGATCCAGAAAATACACAAGCTGCTCTGTAAACATCTGTTGAAATATGCAGAGCTGTGAGTGTGTAGGAAGATCCATAGCAGTCACCTGCAGGAAGGCAAATATTGCTCTGTAGTAGTCACAGCTATTCACTGACATTAAGATTTCTGCCTTTAATTAGACGCATGTTTTACTGGCTTTGAACACAATAATGTTTTTCCTTGTAGTTCAAGATGTCTTGCAGCCTCAGCCTTCTCAGAAGCACGTATTCTTGGTGCAGGCCCTGGCTGGAAGGCTGCTGTTTAAAGCATTATTCTTTAACATTCATTGATCCTTAAATCCAGTCCCAAATAAAAAAGGCGAGGGGAAAAAAGAGGAAAAGAGAGACAGAGACAGCGACACAGAGAGATGGCTGACTTCAGTTTCAGCTTACCTCCAACATGAAGCCCTTAGCCCAACTGTTCCTTCTTTTATGCATGAATTGACTTCAGCACTTGCTTAATAAGCATGTAAGCAGCTTGTAAGTCAACAAGACTAAGTCCACAAGTTTAAGAGGTATTAAACCTCTTTGCTGACAGCATATTAAATTTCTTACAAATTCCACTACAATTTTGTTGTACCTGATGTTTTTTTCATTTAACAATCTCATCACAAGAGCAGACTGACGTTCTTCACTGATCCAAATATGGGTCCAAATCCTGACTGAGATGTTGGAAACACGTATCATTACACCAGAGTTGGTTTCACCTTTTTTTCTATAAGATTAATTATATTTAGTAGGCTTAAGTGCTAAGATTAAAAACAAGCATAAATTGTGATTCTATTAAACTTCATTTTGACTATTGCTACTTCCTATTAACTTATTGGTGCTATGTTTTTTTTCTCTACTGACATACACACAGACATATAGATACAGATGCAAACACATGCACACACATATATTTATCAGTAAGTATTAGTAATGTTAACATAGACTGCAGCTGATTGCATTCACTAGAATAGGAATGAACAAAAGTGTTTGCTTAGCTTGCTAATTAGAAGAGATTTACAGACCATAGGATAAATAGAGCATATGAAAGCTTGGAATTAAACCTCTTTTTTTTTTAGTAATAGCAGAATTCCCATTGACTTTTAAGGAAGTCTGGGGGGGTAAAATCAGGCATCAAGTGTGCAAGGAATAGAAAATACAGAGAAGTTCTAGTGACCTGCTGAATCAGCTTAATCTGTGAGCAACGGAGCAAGATGTGAATGAGTGGAGGCAGTGACGATATTATTAATATTTCATTGTGTTGAAAGAAAAACTATACAAATACAGAGCAAACCAAAACAGTTACTGTGGATAATATGTTAGCGTAAAGCTGAAATGACAGAACTGTATCACTACGTTGATTTTTAAAACACTTTTCTCTGTCCCTTCCCGCCCCCTGCCCCAACCAATTCAGTCATTTTACACTTCAAAGATGGAGTCGTCTGACCATGGACTATCTTGTTTTCTACAGTGCTGTACAACACCTCAGAGTAACAGGGTATTATTTCTTGCCTGTAAGGCCTAAGTAGGACCATGCTACAAATAAACATAACCCAGAAACTAACCAATGTAAACAATGTAAAAAAGAAAAAAAAAAAGACATAAAAAAAATAGGTACCAAGGAAAACAGTACACAAGGTTAATATATACTCAATATTTAATACTGAAGATCTGACAGTACATTACACTGCATACCGTCACTAGCACATCGTCACAATATTCCAGATGCTCGGAATCAGCCCTTCCAAGAAGCTGACATCTCATCTATGTGGTGCTGGATCCACTCAAGATACTGACTAACTTTGGTGTAGACTCCAAATTTCTCCCTACTTCCACAGCCTTCACCCCAGCTCACCAGTCCTACCAAAAACCAAGTATCCTTATATTCAGTGATCATAGGGCCTCCGCTGTCCCCACTGCAGGAATCTTTTTTGTCTCCTAGGCTCCCAGCACACAGCATGTTGTCAGAGATAGCAAATCTCATCGCCTGGGCACACTCGTTTCGGGGAACCATGGGGATTTGAATATAACTGAGGAAAGTAGAATAATTGCTTTTAACATCACTTGTGCTGCCCCAGCCAGTTACCACCATCTGCTTCCCACTTCTTGTCAGCTCCTGTTCTGCCAGGTCGCGGGTGGGAAGACAGATAGGGAGCATGTATTTGTTATACATCACGGGCTCAGCCAAGTGCAGCATGGCTATGTCATTATCGGAGGTCTCCTTGGTGTAATTTTCGTGGCTCACACATTTATCAACCCAAATGGTTTGCTCGTCTGCCTCAGTACGGAGACGGTGGAATTTACCTGGAAGAGCAAACAAGATGACAGATGCAACCGAACCTTCCTTCACCTTGAACACCAAGGCATCTGGATTACATTGGGCTTTAGGACTGTACTTCACGTTTTTACTTCCCTTGTAATATAGACATTTGTTCATTTTATGTTATAGGTTAACAGTGTTCTTACTAGGTGGACAAATCTGTAAACTTTCCATATTTACCTGAATCATGAATACATACAGTACTAAATGAATTAGTACCTTAGAGGTATGCTCATCAGGTGAGAAACTGAAATGCCTATGTATTGCCCTGTTGTGTTGATATTACAGTACACTTGTGCAACTTGAGAGATCTTCTTTAGGAGGAAAACAATCTTCTTGGAGTCAGCACTAAAAGCTGGGAGAGCAAGCATACAGCAAAGCAAGACATTTACAACAGTACACGAGCTTTATGCTGTATAACCAGTGCCTGAATGACTGAACTTCACGATTTATAAGATAAAGATGACTGACTGGTAAGGCTATTCCTTTCTGAAATCCTACATCTGTATTTTAAGGAATTTTTCACTACTTAAGACTTCTCAGTTATTATTTGTGCTACATGATCATGGCCACTTTGTGGGCCAAGCAGTTATGGAACTGTAAGCAGGAAACTAAGTTGAAAAGGGACAGATAGGCAAGAACAAGTCACTTGTGATACACTGGAAAAGACAGAAACAGATCTCTCTGACAGGTAGTGAAGAGGTAGCCCCAAGAATAATTACCAGTGGCTGTCACATTTCTGAACTGTGCTCTTGGTTAATTTAAGCTTCATATCAAGGCCTACTTCAGTATGTACTTGATAAAAACACTTCTTTGGAGAACTATCCATTATGCACATTCAAGCTGTAGGCAGGCACACATCCAAGCACACGAGGTGGCAGGACATCCAGGCTGACACCTCACCTCTGCCCATGCTGCAAGTATGTGACGGAAGCGTCCTTTCCTTCTCAGTCTCTCTGTGAGTTGGAAGTTGCTCTTTATTACCACCTATTCAAATGTGTGCTTCACAACACCACCCTTCAAATTTGTTTCCCCACCACCCCATTAACTTTTGCCTTCTTTCAGTCTTATTTGAATCCCTCCAGACACAAACTCTAAAGCCAAGTTGCTCTGTATTTGTGTGACCAAGGTCTTCTGAAGTCACTTGCTTCAGTGTAAGCTCCCCTGTGCTTGAGCCTGTCAATGAGGTATTGCAGCTGTTTGGGTTTTTTTCTGTAAAGAGTCAGTGTCTCTAAGCGTAGGGACTTTATGATCCACAGTAGTTCCAGAAACGGATTCTCAAAAGAGCCCTTAAGTCCAGCTTCGGATCTTGGACTTCCAGACCAATTATTTCTGAGTATCTCTTCTTGCTCTTCTGCAGACAGCCGATGGACATTTCATACATGGCCACAGCAGACAGCAGATGACTGAAACTGCTCTGACGTGTATTAAGTAGTACCAGAGCCTGAAGAACTTGCCATTATCCAGCCAAGACTCACAAATCTGTTTTTTTCTGCTATCACGACCTCTCTTCTTTGTGACAACAGTGTCCGTAGCACCCTTGGAGCACATTTCCTTGCTACCCACTCTGCAGCTGCTGTGGCTGGGGGCTGACTGGCAGATAAGGGGCAGCGGTTTATTCCTGTCTTCACAGATACAAAACTCTGCTTTAAGCCTCAAGAAATAACTCTGGACTCAAACACTGTCAGATCATCTCCTCTGAGGAATGCAGTTTAGTTGTATAGGAGCATACTTTCTGCTAGGCTTCACATGCTCTGTATACAAGCATGGCCATGACCTGTGTCCTGAGTACATGTCTGTACAAATACAGACAATGTATTTGCAAGACTTTCCACAATTACTGGGAACAACCTATCTTTTCACTAACAGAGAAAGAAAGCAGTTGAGCTGTTATGCCTCTGTCACCAACGGTAGATAGAAAACACTAATAAAAAAAAAATTCTACTTAAGTGTGAACAGAACACTAATTATTTTTGTCTGTTGATTCAGGAGCAGTAGTGTACTTGACATAGATTTTCTCATGCTTAAGAGCAGCAGTGCCAGTAAAGGCAGTGTTGCCATTCCACAGCACCTCTCCTCCTTCTCTACTGAAATTCACTTAAGTAATGGTGTTCAAATGTATGAAAAGGCAGGAAGAGGCACTGTGACATTCTCCTCCTGTGATCAAGACTTTTTTTTCAGTATTGGGATGACCTTGAGTATTTTCATCACCAGAAAAACACAAGCAGAAGAGACCGAGTCTTTCTACTTTATAGACAAGCAGCAGCGCTCAGAAGACATCAGTTCACTTCCATAGTAAGGTTGATAGTGGCTCAAATGAAATCAGATTCTTACAAAACTTTTTTGTTTTGTGCTAAGGCGCATATTAAATACTTCCTAGACAACCTACTCCTACAACCAAGAAGGACTTTTGCCTTCATAACCTGCTAGTGTTTCTCCTGAGATGATAAACCTTGGGAATGAAACAGTTACATTTAAAAAAACAGGGACAGACTTTTTTTCCATACCAAGTCTTACTTTGAGTCCCTCTTCTGCCTCAGTGCAGTGTGCTGCCGTTAGGACCCAAGATGGATGGATGAGAACACCCCCACACAGAAATTTCCCTTTGCTATTTTGCAGCATAATCTGAAACAGAAAAAAGAGAGGTCTGACACTGCATGGAGCATGGCTTACAAAATATTGTACACATTCTTCTTTGTGGTTGCAAAATGCCCAGACGCATCAAGCACCAAAGCATGTCACATTCATTGAAGCCAAAGCTCTACAGTGGGACAAAAGTACTATGAATAAGGTCTCTGTGGAACACCTACAAAAAAGTTTTGAATATTCTTCCTGAATGAGGGCTGGCTTCATCCAAATCAGCATGGGACGATGCTGGTCACTGCCAAGAAGCAATTCGGTACTTCAAAGCTTTGAAACACAGAGCTCAAATGAGGGGATTATTCTTGTGTCCACAGCACACCAGAGACAGTGCGTCATCTCAGCCTGCAACTCTCATGCTACGGTGTAAAAGGGCCTTTAATGTCAAAGAGAACTAGGCCCTGATTATATGCATTCACTAGTTCCCCGATAAGCTCTGCGAGGTCTCCCCTTTCTCTGTGATGTCCCAACCTGCTCTGTAAAGCTATGGCATATTTTGCTGATTATATCTGCTAACTTGAACTCATGACAGATGAGGCTTGTAAGAACAGATCCATGCAGAAAGGGCGAGAAGACTACCTCACACTCCCACCAGAAGGCTGTTACAGTAGCTGAGGCATGCATCACACAGCACGAGCTGCAGTGATTAAGTGGCCTTCCCCAGAATGGAGCAACAGAGTAGGTAAGTGTCATCACTATCCTCTCTCCTGACATTGTTGGCAAGGTAAGGTAAAAAACTTGGCAACAGTGACAAGGTCAAGAGTCCTAACAGATAATAAACTATTTTTTCCTGTTACTCCAACTTTTGGGTTGCTTTTGGAAAGGCTAAGCTAAGGGAATCTTAGCTTCACGTCACACCACCACTAGTAACGTAGGAGCCTTTCTGGAGCAGCTAGGCAGGCAGAGGTGTTCAGGAAGAGCCTGAACTATTTGTGGTTAAAAACTCTTTTCTCCTTACCTGCCAAGGGCTGTCTCCCCTTCTTCCTACTTTTCCCTCAATGAGCCGAACGTTGAATCCTGCTTTGGCTTCAATGTAGTACATTTTCACTCTTCCACAGGGGAACTCCACTACAGGAGATGCAGAGAGGTTAACTAGCAAAGACCAGATCACCCAATACAAAACCTCTTTCTAAAGCATTCCCTCTGTCTCTCTAACCTAGGCAATACTATTCAGTGGCTTCATGGAATTCCCTCAATGCTTTGCAGAAGATGCAGTTTCCTGATTCCCCTGTATGTCTCCATGAGGCAAACACAGATTAAAGGCCATAAAGTGGGTATGGAGTTGGGAAATGCAGGCAGTTACTCTGCATGGAATGGATGTTTTGAAAACTAGTACAAAGTGCACGGCAGACAACTCTCCCATAAAACCCTCTTACTTCATGTTTGAATAATCCTCTGTCGAATCTGGACTACGAACATCCTCCTCTTACCTACAGGCTTGCACATGGTATGGTCATTCATCAACTGATACCCAGACGCACAGCTGCAAGAGCGGCACTGGTTGACAGGGTCATCCCTACAGAAATGTTCACATCCTCCATTATTGACAGAACAGTTGGTGTATTTGACCTCTACGGAAAAAATGAACAGCAAGAGAGACATGAGAAGTTGGAAAGCCAAAGAGTCACAGGAAGGTAAAGTGGCAAAATGACATCATGATTCAAGTGAGCAACAGCTGACAATGGATTTGGGATGACAGTTGTGGGTTTTAATGGCACTCGGGCTCTGAGACAGCAAACAGACCTTGGTGCAAAATAACGCAAGTGGGGAGATGGAGAAAACAGAGATTACTGTCAGGGCAGGTAGTCTGGAGAACAGAAAATTCATCTGCACTGAGTGCAAGTCAGACAGTGCAAAGTGTTGATGATACATGACATACATCCTCATCCCTAAATACGCTATCCAGCTTTTGTCCAAGGAAGAAATTGTCACAGTGATGACAATCAAATATTTGCAGTGGATTGTTTTTTCCTATATTGTAAAAAACCCCACCATCATCCCTGTACTCATAGTTCTAAAGTAACTCAAAACCCTGCTTTACAGAATTATTCCCAGTATTTCTGTAAAATTTAGATATCTCAGATCTCCAAACCTCTCCCATGGCAACACAAAATTCATTTTGCTTTAGATAAGCACAGATAGTTCTTTTACCACATCATGAAGCAAAAGAGAAATCACATTAGTAAAGAAAGCGAGTATACTGTGCAATGACAAAAGTGTTGATCCCTATTACACAGAGATCTCTGTCACAAAGAATGTTATTTTATAGTGGATTAAAGGCAGCATTACCATAATTGCACAAAACCCCCTCCCAGCCTTTGTTACAAATGCAGGAAAATTTTCCAATATCGTCCTTGCAGTTCCCATTGGAACAAGGCTGTGGGTCACACTGATCTCCATCTGAAACAGAGGCAGGAAAACTCAGTCCCTGAATCATACAGAGCTCACAGATCAAACATTAACACGAACAGACCCTCTCCAGATTCCTAAGCATCACCCGCGGTTTCTGCCACCGAATGGTAATACGTCCGTGGTGCTAGCCCAGAGACAAGGGCATTTGTTTGGCTTCTGAATTACAGCTGCAGAGTGAGTGGAGTGGGCAGAAGGGGAAGAAAGAGCAAAACCTGAGGCAGACAGGGAGAGGCAGTTTACTGCAGAAGTGAAGAGCAGTGGTGGGGCTCCTCTTTGGACCACATCAGGCAGGGTTAGAGCATCAGAGAGCACTTTTGACCAGTGCCTTAGCTCTGGGGAGACGACTGATGATAGGCACAGATGCACCTCAAGTTTTTTAGGAAGATTGCTTGTATGATAGGACAGGAAAACATTCTTTGCACACTCCATATAAGAGAACGAGAATTTGAATCAGTATGTGATACATGGCAGCAGGAAGGCTGAGTACTACTTATTCTTGAGGAAACAGAGAAGTGATTAGGAAAAGTCTTTTACTTACCTACATACTTGCTCCAAAAATTTCGCTGTGGAGAAACAAAACTTACATTAAGGCTAGAAGCAGATTTTTAACAAGTGAGGGATTTAAAGTGTATCATGGTCTTGGCCAACAGAGCACAACACCTCAGTCAACAGCATCGGTCTCATTCTTCTTGACAGTGTAGTGACTGGCGCTACAAACCAACAAAACTGGCCAACTTGGACATTCATGTATTGCCCGTACTCAGCACAGATCCCCCTGCCCTGCTTGCAGACCCACCAGCACCACAACCCCTCAATATCCCCACAGCTTCTCTATTTTCTTGTCACTTACTGCCAAGTCACCTGTATTGTTGAGTGCACAATTCTTTTGTGCCCAGTTAGACAAAACGTGGGCATTGTGAAGACAGACCCCACTCCACTCTGGGGTCTGAGGGACAGCAAGGACTGGTTCATCCTATGTAGAGAGCCTACTCTGCTTAATGCAATAAGAAAAAGTCCAAGCCAACACAATGACTGGGTGTGGAAAGAGGCAAGAATCAGTGACGTTGACAATAAAGGTAGTGTCCAATTGAAAACATGAAGTTTGGAGAAGGAGAGAGGACCTAGTGGTAAGAGAAATGTTTGTCAGGCACAGGTGGGAGACTGGGGAGATACAGTGAAAGGCAGCCAGAGCTGGCGAATGGACAACAGAGGGCAAAGGACTGGAAGGACTGGGAAAAACTCAGTCACAGCAAGAATAGCCAACAGGGTCAAGCAGGGATTGGGATTACCTGGCTGGGACCTAAACCTCACAATTAGGTCAGGTGGGTCATGCGTGAGCAGCGAAGTTTTATGGCCCATGCAGGTGGTAACTTGACAATCACCGTAACGCAATTACATTCAAAACCATGCCTACACCTTAGGAGTCAGAAGTGATGCATGTTCAGTGCTGACAGCAAGATCTCCTATGTCCTGGATTGCAATACTTTAAGAAAACAAACAATTAATTGGTTAAGTCCCACATTCATCCTTAAAAAAAACCCTTACTGTTGCTTCCTTCGTTTCAAATATCTCACTGGCCTCCTCAAAGTCACACCGCTCTTCAATGCACTCATGCTCCACAGAGCCCGGTTTGAGCTCCTCCAGAAAAGAGTTTGCCCGCTTCTGGATTTTCAGGACTTGGTTTGCATCTTTATTGCTGTAAAATACTGGAAGCAAAAATGTGAAAGCACAAGCTGGGAAAAAAGCTGGCTGAAAACTGGTAGTGGTCCTTCCCAAAGGACACTTATCAGAACACTAGCCCCTCTCTCTAGCACAGCAAGAGAGCCTGCCCTAGAAACCATGGGCTGTCAGTGCTATGCTGCAGAAGCAAGCTCCAGCCTCTGCTCTGTGACACTCAGCTCGCAGGGCTCATGGGGGCTGTGACCAGGCAGCCATCACAGCCCAGCACTGTGTCTGTGAACCTCTGCTAGAGGAATTCAAACCCCGTTAATGGGAACGATTCCAGCCACTCCCTGTGACTGACAGAGGAATAGGAAATGCACTTGCAGTGACTGGAAGAGCGTGAAGGGTATCTCTAAAATGAAAACTTACTTGAGGTACTACAGACTCGTGAACAGCAGGCAGCCAGCAGCACCCCTATGGTGACGAGCTTCCACATATTGCAGCAGAAGTCACCTAAAGAAGAGAAGGTAGGTGTGAAGGGGAGCATACTGCTGAGCTGCAGCACAACCCCCGTGCTGCAGACAGTTTCTATTCAGACAGCTCAGCTAGCTCCTTCACTTGTTTTTCTCAGAGCAGCTCCCTCGCTGAATGCTGTGTTGTGCCGTGACACTCTGATTCCAGCTCCAAAGCGGCCGTTCATTAGAGGCCCTCCAGGCTGGTTTGCTAGTTCCCTTTAACCCACCAGCAGCTCCCCCAGAACACTTCTTGTCTGCCCCGACATCCTCCCCTTGTCACCGGACATTTTTGACAAGCTTTATGCTTCATTAAAGCAAGCTGTACTTTGAAATCCCAAAGGATACAATACTTTTGAAGCACTTACTGCTTTATTCAGTGTGAATCAGCGTGATCTATTCTTCCGTCATGAGCTCTGCTGGAACTTAGTTAATCCATAACTTCAGATATTTACTCTTTGGAGTGACATGAAGTGCTTTCTTTTTAGTCATTAAACAAACAGTGCTCAGGGGGAGCTTGACAATTTACCTGCATGCAGGAGAAAAGTGAAACAGCTGAGGCATCCACTCTGCCTTTTTCAAATGTGTTTTTCTTTTGATTCTCTAGCAAGTAGAAATAGTTATATTCAGTTTGTAAGCGTAACCACCCAGTGCTGAGGTGTCTTGAGATCCTACCACTTTCTCACAGCACACAATCACCCAAAAGGGACACATATTGCTCTTTTTAAGAGTCCTCCCACCTTACTTTCTCATCAAAGGTTCCACCACAAAACAGCCAAGGCAACTAACCCCCCTTACAGCCATGAGCAGGCAGTGCCTGCCCCATCAGCTGCCTGCTGTGAGGAGGCAGGGCAAGAAGCTTGTACCAGCATGCTGCATCTTTTGGTGTACTGGATTAGCTCTCATCAGCACAAAATCTTCTATTAAATTTTCAATATTAAACATTTTAGAGAAAAACTGCAATCCTTTTCAGAAGTTTTCTTGCATCGGAGATGGTACGAACCAGTGTGTTCCACTTCTCTGAAAGTAGTTTGTGCAGCAGCACCTCTGTGAGCCGTACAGTGCGTGACATTGTCATGCAAATTACCTGTGCAGCCATGTGTCCTTAGGGGTCCTTCATCAGAGAAAGTGCCACCGGGTGCTGGGAAAAGGTGGGCCTCTCCAGGATCTCAGCTCACGTCCAGTGACACTGTTTAGGAGGGCTCTGACTCCTTATGAAACTTTTTTTTTCTTTTTCTCTTACAAACTTGGCCATGGACTTCATTGAAAACAAGCTCTCTTTAAACACACAAAGGTTTATGTTTCAAAGTTCATCCATTTTGGACTTGTGCTAAAAAAAAAAAAAAAAAAAAATGGAAGAA